GGGGTCCTACCGCCCGCGGAATCAATCCTCTGCAGAGCCGGCTGGGCTGGGCTGGGGGAGTTTCTGCAGCTCCAGAAGCGCTTATCCCGCCCCCCGCACACACTTACACTCTCTCTCACACACACACACACTCTGACACTCACACACTCTGCGGTTCGACAATAAAAGGTGTGTGTTCTGCATGCTGCAGGAGGAATGGGGAACTCTGCTGGCTTCCTGCCCGCAGATTTCCTTATCGTGGTAACAAGGGCTGCTTTCCACTCAGGCTGGTGTTTACTAAAAGGAGATCTCAGCTCACACACGCACATGGATGGGACCAGAGTCCACCCTTATTAGCTCGAGTCACAGCTCGACCCCGACCCCCACCCCGCTCCAGGCAAACTACAAGACAAACACACAGTGACAGAAGAGGGAAACTGGCCAGACTTAGATTGTGAGCTTTTGGGGACTTTTTTTTTGTTATCTTTGTACAGTGCCTAGCACAATGGGGCCCTATGCAGTTAATGCGTTACCACAATGCAAATAATACTAGAAGCTGTGTGGCCAACTCTTCCAGTCTTTGGTGTGTTCAGTAAAGCCCCAGCTCTTGGGTTCATTTGGTAATCTGAGAATCTCAGTTTTCGTTTTTTAAAAAGTAAGGTTTTTTTAGCCCTCATTCTGGAGATAGGCCTGAAAATGTGATTCAAGAGAATTCTAAAAGCTCAAAATGCAGAAGTCAACTAAAAAAAATATTCTGTTCAGAATTTTTTTAAAATTGGATGAATTTTAAGCCAATCTCATGATTTTGGAGGGGGCAGACTCATGATTTTTTTATGTTTTGGATTGGCAACCATTAAAAAAAGAGTGAAGACAGCATATAGACAGACATCAACCGGAAGTATGGGCAATTGTGAGTTACAGATCAGGGAGAGAGACAAATACAAGAGACACAGAAGTATCATAACTAGGGAAAGTAATACATAAATACCTTACAAATATCCTAAATGAAACAGGATAGCAGCAGTAATCCCCAAATGGTGTAGGGAGGATTTTGATATCCTCATTCTCCTCCAGCATACACTTCACAAAAAAAAAAAAAAGTTATTCATTAAGATGATTGCTTGTTTCACCTTACAGACTTGACTTTTTCATATTTAGGCTTCAGGCATGCAAATATACACACACGTGAAGAATCCACTGAAATCAAGGGGGCTTCATGCATATACAGTGGTGGTCTATAGATCAAATTGCGGATCTGGAGCCACAACTATACTTGCAAGAACCATTTACTCCACTGAAGTGTGTCTTAGAAAGAGAGATTTTCCCATTCCATTAGAATTAATCTTTTAGCTGTAAGAGCATGTTACTGAGCAGATAGAATGAAATGAGTCAGGATCTGTTGCCAAATAGGCTGATTCAAATTCTCCCTTGATTCATGGTGAAATTTGTGCTTTGTACTTAATCTGAGGATCTCAAAGCACTTTACAAAAATGAGTAGCATGGTATGGCTCAAAGCAGAGGGACAGGTGTAGATTAAGACTCTGTTCCTACAAATACGAAGAACTGCCACACCGGCTCAAACCAACTGTCCATCTTGCCCAGTATCCTGTCTCCAACAGTGGCCAGTGGCCAGAGCTTCAGGAAGAGTGTACAGAGCAGAGCAGTTGGAATGATCTGCCCATTTTTCCCTCTCAGCTTCTGGCAGTCAGAGGTTTAGGGTCACCCCAAGCATAGGGTTTCATCCCTGAACATCATGACTAATATCCATGGACCTATCATCCATGTAGTTATCTAGTTCTTTTTTGAACCCACTTATATTTTTGGCCATCACAACTTCCCATGGCAATGAGTTCCACAGGTTGACTGTGAATTGTGTGACAAAGTACGTCCTCTTGTTTATATTAAACCTGCTGCCTATTCATTTCACTGAGTGACCCCCGGTTTTTGTATTGTAGGAAAAGGTAAATAACACTTCTCTATACACTTTTTCCACACCATTCATGATTTTATAGATCTCTATCATACCTTCCTTTAGTCATCTCTTTTCTAAGATGAACAGCCCTAATCTTTTTAGTTTCTCCTCCAATGGAAGCCTTTCCATACCCTTCATCATCTTCGTTGACCTTCTCTGAACTTTTTCTAGTTCCACTATATCCTTTTTTAAATGGGGCAACAAGAACTGGACACAGTATTCAAAGAATGGGTGCACCATGGGTTATGGTATTTTCTGTTTTATTTTCTATCCCTTTCCTAATAGTTCTTAACATTCTGTTAGCATTTTTACTGCTGTTTGCATAATGAGCTGAAGTTTTCAGAGAACTATCCACAGTGGCTCCATGATCTTTTTCTTGCGTGGTAACAGCAAGTTTAGAACCCAGCATTATCTATGTGTAGTTTGGATTATTTTTTCCATCATGCATTACTTTGCACTTATCAGTGTTGAATTTCATCTGCCATGTTGTTGCCCAAGAAAGACAAGGTGGGTGAGGTAATATTTTTTATTAGACTAATTTCTGTAGGTGAGAGAGACAAGCTTCAGATCTAGGACAGAGACTCCCAGCTTCAGAGTGAAATGCAAGGTGGAACAGATTGTTTAGCATAAGCAGTTAGCACATATTGTAAGGGACCATTCAAGGTAGATGGGCAGATTAACATCTCTGCAGTCATGGGACAAAAAGAGGGGGTTAGAGAGTTACAGCTTATTATAATAAGCCATAAATCCAGTGTCTTTATTAACATCACGATTTTTAGTGTCTAGCAAAATTATGAATTTAAGCTCCCAGGCTCATCTTTTGAAAGTGTTGTGGAGGTTTCCTTTGAGGATAAGGACTGAAAGGTCAGATATAGAGTGATTGCTTTGTGAAAAGTGTTCACCCACAGGTGATAGGATGTTTTTCTCTTTTATCATTTTCCTGTGTGAGTTCATTCAAGAGTGTAATGATTGTCTGGTTTCACCCACATAGTTATTATGGCATTTAGTGCACTGGATGAGGTATACCATATGTTGTGACAGGATCCATGGATCTCGAAAGCTGCCATGAGAGGACCTTTCCTATTATCCCAGGATAGGGTGACCAGACGTCCCGATAAAATCGGGACTGTCCTGATATCAAGCAGTTTGTCCCGCGTCCCGACTGAAGTACGGTCGGGACGCCATTTGTCTCGATATTTTGTATCGTGTGCTTTTTTTTTCCTTGTTTGGCGGCAAGGTTTATTACCCGCCGCCGAAATGTCGCCGAAGACCATCAGCGACTGAAGGACCCTCCGCTGAAGTGCCGCCGAAGACTCGGACAGGTGAGTGTAACAATTGAAGAGGCGCTCCCCCTGTGGCGGTCCCGATATTTTGGAATTCTCATCTGGTCACCCAATCCCAGGAATATTTAGTTTCCTTAACAGTCTTTAGTGAGAGACCTTGTCAATGGCTTTCTTAAAATCCAAGTACCCTATATTGACTGGCTCACCATTATCCACATGTTTGTTGACATCCTCAAAGAATTCTAATAGATTGGTGAGGTATGGCTTACCTTTACAAAAGCCATGTTGACTCTTCAACAAATCGTGTTCATCTATGTGTCTGATTATGCTGTTCTTTACTATAGTGTCTACCAATTTGCCCAGAACTGAAGTTAGGCTCACCAGCCTGTAATTGCCAGGATCATCTTTGGAGCCCGTTTTGAAAATCGGTGTTATGTTAGCTACCTTCCAGTCATCTGGTACAGAGGCTTTTTTCAGTGCTAGGTTACATACCACAGTTAGTAGTTGTGCATTTTCATATCTGAGTTTCTTCAGAACTCTTGGGTGAATACTGTCTGGTCTTGCTGACTATCGTTTAATTTATCAATTTGTTCTTCTATTGACACATCAATGTGGGACAGTACTTCCTTTTGGGTGACAAATCTGAAGTCAGTGGATCTACTCACATGCTTAAAGTTACACCCTGATACTGTAAGCATGTATGTAAGTAATTTTCTCATGATCACATAGTAAAACAGTGGTTGCATTGAAAATAGAACTCAAGTCTTATTATGCATGGTCCCCTGCGCAAACCACTAGATTATGCTGCTTCCCATAAATTAATTTTGGAGGAGACATCTGATTATACCAACTGAATTCTTTAGAAGTCCCATAACAAGAGAGTTATTATTATTTAATATTTATGTTACA